TCTCATCGCCAGATCTTTAGCTTTTGCTAATAAAAACAAAAACAGGCATCGTGCCAACAACCTCCGGGCCGTCGCCGGCGACGAGACAAGAACCCGCCCGCGCGCAGATTGAGCCCGTCGCGCACCTACGCAGGTTCGTGGTCAGACGGCGAGCTCGCACCACGTGCGGCGGCTGGGCCCCACGGCGGGGGTCCCCACCCAACGTTGCGTCATGTGCGCCCCGGCGCGACCCACGCCGGCCGCTCGCTTCAAGGCAAGCCGCTTCACCGGAACGAATGCTCGCCACCGGCACCAGGCTGCCGACGCAACGTGGGCCCTCGCCTCGCGGCCGTTAACGCCTCCTCGACTCGGACCGTCGAGGCCCAGTGATTTTGAGGAAGGGGAGGTTATTTTGTACGCCCCCCCTCTCTCTCTTTTGAAAATCGCGTGTTTCTCCCTTGTGTGTTGTTGAAGGTGGCGGATGGTGTAAATTGTAATTAGTGTTTTTGTTACGGGGGGGTGTTGTGAGTTGAATGATATGAGTAAAGCTACGTTTTGAGGAGCGAGAGGTTGATGGGGGAATCTTGGGTTGTTTTTTGTAAATAGTTTCGAGTTGTTTGAAGTTTTGTGCGTGTGGTATTGAGATAAATTAAAGAATGCGGTGGGGGGAGGATTTATCTACAGGTCCCAAAATAACTCCGATAAATTACTTTTAAACCCATTGTAAATTTCATCGATTTTTTATATGGTATAAAAGTTGCAACTCTGGATAGGGTTTATTGCTTATAAATCCAAAATCTTAACGCCACTTATCTTTAAACACACTCGTTTCTTTAAAAAGGTCTTTGTTGCCTATAAACATGAATTTACGTTTATTTACTTTAAATTAAACAGACGGACAATCTCTCTCTTGGACCCAAATGCTCCGTACATAGTTTAACTCCCACTTATTTGAAATCCATCCATGTCCAAAAGGATATTTGACCTACAAACCCAAATGCCTTCATTTATTTTTGATACTCCATCGAATTATTTTTAAACGCACTTCATATTTGAGAAATTTATTATACAGTGTAAGTTGCTATATTTTGTTGTAATTTGTTAAACTATATAATTGGTTAAATATGTGATGTATTTTTAAACCAAAGACGTATATTATTTTTTTCAAACTAATGTGGAGACATTGCGTACTATATATGCGTAGTTTGCCTCTAAAGCAAAATTTTACATCTATTTATTTTAAATTCATTCATTTTCAAAAGAGTGGTTTTGCTTATAAACTGAATGTTTTTTTAATCTTAAATTTTCTTTGTATTTCAGTGGTTTGATATACCGCGTTAGTTATTATATTTTTTCTGTAAATTTTATATTTGTTGTGAGTTGTTAGGTACATAATGTATTCTTTAACCATGCTTAAACTATTATCTTTGTTTTTCTCACACTTTTGGTGCAACATCATAGATGGATTTTTAGCATAAAAGCCTAAAGTTTACCCCCGTTTATTTTTTACACCCACCTCCAAAAAGATTTTCTGCCTATAAACCTGAAGTTGACACCCATTTATCTTTAAATATAGGGAAAAATGTGTCCAGGCCCCAAAAACAGAAATTTCATGTGCTGCAGCCCCTCCTAGTTTCCCCCATGTGGTTCAGCCCCTTGAAGTGTGACATTTTGTGCTGCAGCCCCTTTTTAACAATTATTACATGCCAACTAAGCTAAAATCCCCAAAATAACCTTATCCCTTCTTCTCAATCCTTCAAACCCAGTTCTCTCTCTCTCTCTCTCTCTCTCTCTCTCTCTCTCTCTCTCTCTCTCTCTCTCTCTCCCCCCCATAATCCGGTAGAAGAACAGGAACAGAAAAGCCACACAATTCATTCAAAGCATAGTATTAGGAAGCTTCTTATTATTACCAATATAATGCAGTTTTTTCCATGATATTACCTAAATAAATTAATATAGAAATAATCAAAATCCAAAGGGGGTTAAGTTATTCGAAAAAGAATCTCTTCCAATCATACCCCCCCCCTCTTTTCCCCATGATCATAGATCCTTTTTAGGCCAGCAGTTAAGAATAAGGCCCTATTGGATGAGAACGGTGTTAGTTCTAACACGCGGCTACAGTGTTAGTTCTAACAAGTTAGTTCTAACACGCGGCTACAGTGTTAGTTCTAACATGCTACAGTGTTAGTTCTAACACTGTAGCGTGTTAGAACTAACACTGTAGCCGCGTGTTAGAACTAACACTGTAGCTTGTTAGAACTAACATTGTAGCGTGTTAGAACTAATACTGTAGCCGCGTGTTAGAACTAACACTGTAGCTTGTTAGAACTAACATTGTAGCGTGTTAGAACTAATACTGTAGCCGCGTGTTAGAACTAACACTGTAGCCGCGTGTTAGAACTAACTTGTTAGAACTAACACTGTAGTCGCGTGTTAGAACTAACTTGTTAGAACTAACACTGTAGCCGCGTGTTAGAACTAACACTGTAGCTTGTTAGAACTAACATTGTAGCGTGTTAGAACTAACACTGTAGCCGTGTGTTAGAACTAACTTGTTAGAACTAACACTGTAGCCGCGTGTTAGAACTAACACTGTAGCGTTTAAGTCTCCTGATACTTCTCCCATTCCTTTGTAGGTAGTTTCATTTATGAAAGAAATTGGTTTTGATGGCAGAACCATAGGGAGAATATTATGTCGCTACCCAGAGATATTTTCTGCTAATGTCGACAATACTCTCAGGAGGAAAGTACAATTCCTCACAGATTTTGGCATCTTGAGAGGTCAACTTTCTCGTGTTATTCGAAAGTATCCCGAGCTTCTTATGTTAGACATCCATCAAACTTTACGTCCAAGGTATAAAAAGTGTCATGCTTATGAAGTTCTCTAACGTTTCTGTAATAAACATCATTTATGTTATTTTCCTTGAAGTTTTAGTTTCAAATGTGGAATTAGTCATATTACTTTACTCCATGCACGACTCTTTCCTGCTTATTCTGCATATGAGGCCAAGTTTTTTGTGGAAAGATCGGATCATATACCTTCTTGTGCCCAAATGCAGAACATGGTGCTCCCAATACAGGATTTTTGGTAAGATCGTTAGTGCACCAAGTAGACTTACTTCATTTTTTAATAAATTTATGGGGTTAAACTTGTAATTAGGTTTGTATGCCCGAAAATTCCATTAGGTCAATTACCATTAATTATTTCCCCCCCCAAAACCCCAGATCAATTATTTTTTTCTGTAAAAAATTCAAATTAGTGCGTGTTAGTTCTAATCTGCACAGTGTTGGTTCTATTCCGTAGAATGTTAGTTCTAATCTGCACAGTGTTAGTTTTGTTCTGTAGAGTGTTAGTTCTAATCTGCACAGTGTTAGTTCTATTCTGTAGAGTGTTAGTTCTAATCTGCACAGTGTTAGTTTTGTTCTGTAGAGTGTTAGTTCTAATCTGCACAGTGTTAGTTCTATTCTGTAGAGTGTTAGTTCTAATCTGCACAGTGTTAGTTCTATTCTGTAGCGTGTTAGTTCTAATCTGCACAGTGTTAGTTCTATTTTGTAGCGTGTTAGTTCTAATCTGCACAGTATTAGTTCTATTCTATACCATGTTAGTTCTAATTTATACCACATTAGTTCTATTTTATACCGTGCTAGTTCTAATTAATAACAAGTTAGTTCTATTTTATACCACATTAGTTCTAATTTTAACCATATTAGTTCTAATTTATAACAAGTTAGTTCTAATTTATAACAAATTAGTTCTAATTTATACCACGTTAGTTCTAATTTATACCAAGTTAGTTCTAATTTATACAATGTTAGTTCTATTTTATACCAAGTTAGTTCTATTTTATACTCCATGACAAAATCCAAGCAAAGATAAGAATACCAACATCAAATTTAGACTGCCTGATACTTTTGTACAAACCAATTTAGACTGCCTGATACTTAGTCTTATGTGTACAAACCAATTTAGACTGACTGATACTTTTGTAGGTATATAATGAAAAGACTGAATGGAGTTTTTGTAACATTTCAAGGACCAATCAAAATTTCTCAATTTATCATAGAACACATGACGTCAAGCGGCATTAAGTCAAATTTTGATACACGACACTTTTTGCAGGTCTGCATCTATAAGAAATCCAAATTATTTTGCCGGCATAGTAAAGGGCGAGACGGGGAGCGACGGCGAGCTACCGCGACGAGGTCGGGCGGAGGAGAGGAGGGGAGGCCGCGGCGGCGAACTCGGGGGAGGCTTGGGAGCCTGGGCGGAGGTGGCGACGGCGAGGAGGGCGAGGGCTAGAGCGACGAGCTTTAGAAAGCCATTGTTTTTAAAGAGAGAGAGAGAGAGAGAGAGAGAGAGAGAGAGAGAGAGAGAGAGAGAGAACTGGGTTTGAAGGATTGAGGAGAGGGGATAATGTTATTTTGGGGATTTTAGCTTAGTTGGCATGTAATAATTGTTAAAAAGGGGGTGCAGCACAAAATGTCACACTTCAAGGGGCTGAATCACATGGGGGAAACTAGGAGGGGCTGCAGCACATGAAGTTTCTGTTTTTGGGGCATGGACACATTTTTCCCTTAAATATATGCATCTTAAAAAATTATTCTTGAACATAAAATAATCAAGTGAATTATTTTTAAATCTGTTTTTATTTAACAATTTGAATTTGTTGTAAGCTGACATATTTTTGTTCTAAGTGGTTAGACACTGTTTTTTTTAACCAAATACTTTGTACCAAATTTTCAATAGTTTTCATGTTAATCCCGCTGCAACGTGCGGGTGTAAATTTTGCTTGTTATATAGAAAGGATTGATGACAGTCTTCTCGAACATCCATAAAACTTCATGATGATTTCTCAAATGAGAACCTTCAGTTTCAAGTGTCGTTGGTCACGAATTAAAACACACGTATCATCGCTAATAAGGGTAAAAATTCTAGAGATGGCTCTCTATAGAAAATCATATAGGGACAAAGAAGTCCGCTACCAACTCTAGATCAATGCAATCAATATACAGTATCATCGTAAATATGTAATCACTATTAGCGCGATCAGAATATTATTATAGTGTGTAATCACAAATATTGAACCAATTGGATCAGACTAATTTATCATCGCTATCTTTTTACGCACTACATGATTTTCTACATAATTTATCATCACTGTATGAACTCATTGCAGATAGCAACAAAGTATCATCCATATATATATGCTCACCCTACTTCCCACTGGAAGCATTCAGCTTCACTCTGCACCAAAGAACAACCAAAGCTATGTGATTCCCTTTCACAACTTCTAACAATCTCCTCCACCTTCAGATCACCATATTCTCTACAACACATAGCCAACGTTCTCCTATCCCTGCCATCAAGTTCCTCAACCAAACACCTAACGATCTCAATCTCTTCACCATTCAAAATCTCAATCAAACAATTACAATGCGCAATCCCGGGCTCAATCCCATACCTCTCCCTCATATCCCTAAAAACCTTAAAACCCTCGTCGACCATTCCCTCCCTCGCGCACGCGCACATCACGCCCACAAGTGTAACCTCGTCCGCCCTCACGTTCTCCTCCTCCATCTCTTTGAACAGCGTTATCGCCTCTCTTCCGCACCCGTGCACGCCCAATCCCGTGATCATTGAGTTCCATGTCGCCACGCTTCTCACAGGCATTTCATCGAACACCTTCACCGCGTCCTCCAAGCTCCCACACTTACTGTACATGTCTACCAACGCAGTGCCAACATAGACTCCTCTATTAAACCCGCCCGCCATTTTTGTGCGCAAACTCGTGAACCCATCTTCCGAGATTCAGGCTCCCAAGCTCAGAGCAGGCGATCAGAAGAGCGACGAGGGTGAACTCATTGGGCCTAACATTTTCCTCCATCATCCTCCGAAAGAGCTCGAATGCCTCCTCGGGCCTCCCGTTCCTCGCACATCCGTCGATCATCGCCGTCCAAGAAACCACATTCCTCTCCGGCATTCTCTCAAACACCTCCCGCGCCTCATCCAGCTCCCCGCATGCCAAAAGCCCCGAGAGAAGCGCCGTCCACGTGACGACGCTTCTCGCGCGCATTTTATCGAACACCTTGCGCCCACATTTCGGCTTCCCACACTGAAGATACAAACGCAAGAGCGTGTTTCGAAAATGCAGGTCGTCGTACAGTGACAGCTTGATCGCGAACCCGTGAACGACCCCAGCGAGGTTGTAATCAAGAACCAACGAGAGGGATTTAGCGACGAAGGTGAGGGTGAACTTGTCGGGTTTCGCGCCGGCGCGAAGCATGCGGACGAAGACTCGGACGGCGGCGAGGGGGGAGGAGTTGTCGGCGTGGGCCCGGATGAGGAGGTTCCATGAGAACGCCGGGGGCTCGCGGGGATGAGGGAGAAAGCCGCGGGAGCAGAGGGGGAGGCGGCACGGTGGAGGAGTAGAGGCGGAGGAGGAGGAGAGGACGGGGCGGGTCGGAGGAGAGGCCGCGGCGGACGGATGTTGGGCGTGGCATTGTTGGGTTTGGGCCAGTTAGGGTTAACGGGTTTTGAGGGGTTGAGGAGGGTTGAGGGCTTCTTTGGGGGTGCGAGGGGGTTGGAGGGAGGATGGAGGAAGAGCAGAGCCGATTTGGGCGTCCGAGGGAGGGGATTGGGAGGAGATTTGGGCATCTTTATGCTCTGGGTTGGGATCTTTATTCGGCCCGTGGGCGCTTGGTGGGCGGATTCATGGCCCATGACAAACCTGCATGTTTCGAATTCATTTTATGAATTATTTTAAGAGAGTTAAAAACCGCTTTTAAACAACGTCTACCAGATCTATCTATTATGGGTTTAAAATACATCTTTCATTTATAAGAAGGGTTAATATTACATAAACTCCCGAACTATTCGGGGAGTTGCAATAAACTTCTCAATCTGCTTTTTAGCTGACACTAAATGAAAGAGTTTTTTTTTTTCTGCATTTATCTTCAATTAGCACTATCAAATTCTCACATCTGCATTGTAATAAGCATGTGTCAAATAACATGAAAATAACTCCTTTAGTCATAAAAAATATCTAGTGTTTCCTTTTAATAAAAGGGTTTTTTTTTTATTTGGAATAAGAAGGAATTTTTGTCTTTTTTGTCATTTGCTTGCCCGATGATAACATTATGATTTTTAATTTTGGGGCTAATATAATGATTAAAGATACAACTTTTTAGGTAATAATTTATGTGGAAATAAAATGTTCAGTGGCACTATGTGTAATAACTCCTAAAGTTCAAGGGAGATTTTTAGTGATATATAAAAAAGAGTTGAGGGGGTGCTGTTGGGCAAACCCCTCAAAAATTTTACGGGATTTTTTTCTGTAATTAACCTTATAAGAACAATTTTCTTGGCTTTTTTGGTAACAATTTTGGAAAATATTTCAAGGCCCACCAAACAAACAGCGGATGTGGGCAGGCTGCCCTGTATTTTTTTGGTGTGACAGGGAACCCCCCAAAAACCAATTATACTTAATAGCCCTTTTTGTTGATTTTCGAAGACGAACTTTAAGAGAAAAGTTGAGGCGTTTCAACGCAAAGTACCCTTTTGTACCCAGTTCGTCCTTCCGCCCTTTCTCTCGTCCTCTCGTCTCTTGTCTTCTGTATCTTCTTCACTCGCAACTCCATTGCTTTCGAAGCCATTTTTCAAACCCTAGTTTCACTCAAAGCGGCTAGGAAATGCTAAATTGGAAAATGCGCCAAAGAAATTTAATAAAATGGCGAAGAACCGTAAGCTTTTAGCAAGCTGAGTGGCACAAACAAAGCGGAAAGGGTGGTCGTACACCGGCGTCGATCGCATCGATTGGCGCAGCAGGAATGCCAAAGTTATCCGCCTCCGCCTCTGCCTTGATATGCCGACGGCAATTCTGCTCCGAGCAATCCTCTGAGGATGAGGAGAGTAACGAGGCGCGGACCCTTTGAGCATGAAAGTCTGGATATTCGCGAAAGCAAGAGGAGACGCCGCTGGAGGATGTTGTCCATCTCAAAGAAGAAGTAAGTTCCCAAGGCAATTGAGGCGATTTTGAATTAATTAGTGTAAATGAGTGATTTTGATTTTAATTGAGGTTTATGGGTTCTTTTTTTTGAATAAATGGTGGTGAGAGACGTTTATTGAGTACGTGTAGAACCAAGTTTCGTAATTTTGGAGTAGATCTGACAATACGAAGTGTTATCAGTTTGGAACAAATGAATTGTAAATAATTCTCATTTTGTTTGATAGCTAGTTTTCAATGCATGTCCATAAATCTTGTTGTTGTAACGGTTTTATCGATAAGTGTCAGTATTACTATTATGTTATAAAACGAAATTTTGGACTCAGATAATCATTTACGGTTATTGTTACCTTTTGAGAGTTGAATGAACCTTGTTAAAGGAGTAAATAGTTGTTTATGCAGGACGGCTACGACGAAGGTGATATACGGCCTATGTTGCCTGTCATTGGATCATATTGTACTTTCATGCAAAGACTTCAACCAAAACTGAAAGCAGTTGGCATTGGGATGCTAACAAGGGCAGTAACTTTGAGCACTAGTGTAATTCTTCGGACCTCAGCTTTTACGTGATTCGACGGGCACTAGAGCATGTGCTCAGCCATTTGTTTGGCCGAAACTGATGAATTCTTATTTCTGATCCCATAAGCGG